TCGACGTAGTTCGGAACTCCGGATTCCTCTCTGCATTTGCGTGTAAAGGGTTACCAAGCATCGTCCTCTCGACAGCGCGTTGGATAACGCTGGCCGCATGCTCGTCCTGGCCGCGCAGAGTCCAAGTCTCTGAGGCGTAGGTTAGGGCAGGAAGGACAGCGGAATCGAAGAGGTGAGCACGGAGCCGGATGTTCTTCGTCTTCTTCACTACTCCCTCGATGTTAACTGTTAGTGCCCAAAAATGTGCTTTCTAATGCTAAGGATAAAGTAACGAGGAGTACAAACCCGCAAACTCCATTTATGCTCACGCCACAATCTGGACTTCTTCACTTCTGTTTTTTTTACTCTAAGGCAGAAGTTCAGTTATGAAGATAATAGTGTAGGCCAAAACTCACTTGGCAATTTTTATTTTTGCAGTCACTACTGGGTGTCGAAGAAAAGAAAGCCTATAGGTTTAGCACATAAAACACCACAACAGTGTACAAAACATTTTAATAGAGCATAAACAACAACTGATATTCTGAAACTAAACTATCACCTCACACAGACATGCACACGAAAGTCCTCCCACTACCCATCGATTTATCGGGATGTATGACTTCCCGCTACTCATTAGTGCTTATCCGGCCTAGATAATGTACAAAAGCAAGTGCATCAAAAGCGGACCTTCAGCAACAAACAGATGGAGCAGTGAAATTTTCCAGAAAATTTGAAATTCGATCAAAAGAATAATGCTAAGGTGGAACGGAGCGGAACCGATGCTAAACCCACGAGTTATTAAAACCCGAAGTGAGGAAATCAAGCTCTGGAAGGGCCGTAGGGAATGCCGTCATGGAAGCCCCATGGACGAGTTTTCAGATAGATGCTCTATTTGGGTACTACCTAATTATGCAAACGATGCACACCTATCCCACTGATGCTCAGCAAAATGGGCTTAGACTACCATACTCTGAAATTCGGTGGCAGGGAAAATGCCGCGTAACAAAAAGAGTTATTAAATTACTACGGTGGCAATAAAAATACGAAACTTATTTGCCTTTCCTTACTACAAAAGATGCCTTTGGCTGTCGAAAAAATAATCGATGGCAAGATAAGCACAAAAGAGCATTGGAAAATCACGACATCCATGACCTTATAAAATGTGCTACATAAATATCTGGACACTCGCACTGAACTACCCAAAAAGAAAACCGACACCTACGAAAATGGTGTGTAGTAGGATCCTTCTAATAAACTTAAAGGAAGAGAAACTATCATCTAATCACTAAATGACTACTTAATCAAAGAAGCATAGTGTGTGGCTTCTCCAGGAACTCTTTGAAATGACGCAGCCAAACAGCTCCAACCGCTCCGTCTACAACGCGGTGGTCACATGACAAAGTAACCTTCATAACTTTCGTGCTCCGGTACCTAAAAACGGAATTGTCTCAAGGCTAGCAATGTCAGTGGACTCTACTCAAAGGAAGCGATTACGATAAAGAGGGAGCGCATCGGGGAAGCATATGCACCACACGAAGCAGTTACTTGGCTGCCAAGGAAGCGAGGTGTGGCGCTTTCACGACGAAAGGTGCGCTGGTTGCTGAGCAGGACTTCGAAAGCACTCCGCCCCCAAAAGCGATCCGCCCACTAGTTTAGTTGGTCTGGACGGGCTTACTCCGATACCAGCAGCCCCACTGCAAGCAAGGAGCAGAGATAGTGGACGGAGCGCCAGCGTCGTGAGGTGCGATGTAGGACGTGCAGCGGTACACCCCATCTCATCTTGACAGCGAAATCTCTGCAGTTATCCGCCCGCTGTGACTCTCCACTGTCTCGCCTCTTGCCGGCGCGACGGGCTCCGTCGCTACCCTGGTTGCGACGAGCTACGTTCCAGCAGCGCACAACGGGAAGGCAAACTTCGCTGAGACCGGTTTTTGGCATGGCCACAAAGGCGTTGTCCAGTGAACTCGTTCAGCTTTAGCGTTACTCGAGGCTTGCTGCCAGTTGCATGAGTTAAACAACAGTCAGAAAAATGAGGCCGCTTCTTTCGTTTTCTTGGTGACGGATCTCGTGAGTTTTCTGCTGCCACTGGGCGCTGCCATTGAGCACACCTATCTCCTCTGAACCCTTCTATAAGCTATCTAAGTCGCCGCCTTTGATGGACATTGGTGGGTCAGTAGGCTATAGAACCTACCCCTCCTCTTCGCATGGAACCAGCTTCGTCTCGGCACCACCGATAGCAAGAATACATGACTGCGGTGGGTTGATAATAGCCGTGAAATCGGTGACACTCCCGAACATGCCAAGATTGGACACCGTGAAAGTACCACCCTAAACGTACATAGTTGATAATGCGTTCTGCACGTCATGAAAGACAATAATACTGACCTGGAACTCATTCGGTTGCAATTTACCATCTCTGGCCCGAGCAGCCAATTCCGTAACCTCAGCCGATATCGTAGCAAGGCCCTGAAATGGTGGGTACTGAATTCCTTGATAAAAAACCTTTTGAACCACAAACCTACCTTCGCATGTGCGTTGAAAGACAATTGGAGTGATCAGTCCGGATGGAGTGCTGACAGCTACGCTCACATCCACGGTGTTGTTTTGACGGATGAACGAATCCATCCAGAAACTATTGACTTCCGGTACACGCAAACATGCCAAGGCAGACGCCTAAAGATGTATTCGCCTTCAGCTATCCGCTAAATTCGATGGGTATTTAACAATAGCTCTTCCGCGTAAATCGGGCATCTTTTTATTTACTATTTTCAGAATCATCATTCCTTCATAATGATTCCACTACGGAAATTGGTGCACTGTCTTCCGGAATAATGCATACCAACAGTTTTGGAATGTGGATATACCAAATAAGTCAGACAGAACAAGCCTGATTCGTGGAGAAATCTGACACGCATGCGCGTCATGCTGTCGTTAACGTGTTAATGGGTTCTACAGCAGAGGACTCAACACAATCACAAACCTTGACAATGAAATCATTAATGGAGATTTTAGTTGATCCACCGGTTCCTTGAGCGAGTAATTTATTCAATTTCTCACGAACTCTGCAATGAGAAATACTTTTTGTATAGTTTCATGCGAAAATAGCAATAATGACTTTGCATTTTAGTTTTTTTTGAGACATATCATGTGTCTGCTCATATGAGAAGAGCCCTCTTCTGGACGACTGAAGTGGCCCGGTGAGTAGTTTCATAATGCGCGCGGTAGGTTACGTTATCCCCAACTGAAGCTATATGATGATCGATTCTGCTGTCCACTTTATGGCATGATTGGGCTAGCATTTCGTCATGCA